GAAGTGCTTCTACAGATTTGATGCCAAGTAACCCCATGCTGCTACAAAGGTCAAAGCCAGTGGCTGCAATGCAGGGTCTTGTCCCCCTTTACAGGGTTAGTCTCATCTGAGCAGATGTGGAAAGGACACACCATCCTGTTGAGTTGTCCTCTTACACCAAGGGTAAAAGCTGGAACAACTATTTGACAAACCAAAATACACACGGAAAAGGCCAGACAGGAGCCTGGGAGATAACACAGAAGAAAGTAGCTAAACAGGCACATTCAGCAGAGCTGAGTTACCCATTTTTCCCTTCCTCCACCCTGCCATGAAAGAGGCCAAGGACAGCTCTCTGCCCCTGAGCACACTGCACTCAGGCACACCCTTGCACAGCAATAACTAAGGAGCATTCATCACTCCTCATCACTTACTCCTTGACTCAAGACTTGCCCCTTCTGGGATTTCCTTTAAGTCATTCTTCACGTTACAGCAGTTTCTGCAAGTCTGTGAGGAATCCCAAGTGGTGGGTCCTTGTGAAGTATTTGTCCACAATGTTAACACTGAGACAGCTTCAACAAACTTTAAGAGAATCTCTTATGCATTAAAGACCAACACAGCATTCTGCTGAATGAGTCCCACAATCTAGCAGTGCTCCTTCCAACATCAATATCAATTTCCTCCATCAACAGGAGGCAGAATAATAGCAACTTCCTCTGTACAATACAACCCTTAATTGTCCCAGATCAAATACTGGCTCCCAGAGGCTATTCATGCTGCTCTACAGGTAACTATGTTCTAGACAAGATGCAACAACTTTTATCAGCAAATGTTAAATGCAGCAGGAAGGCCAGAAGGCCTGTATCAGGACTGCTAATAACCTTATTAGCATCACTGCTCTGGCTCTAATGAAACACCCAAAGCACTGCCGAGAACAGCACAGGTACTCCAGTGACCAGAAAACACTTGCAAGGTCTTGCTCATCTGAGAGGCAGCAAATCCAGAGAACCACTGTCATATCAGGCTTTTTCTCCCTTTGTATCAGCTCCACTATGCCTCTGATTCCCCTCTTAATGACAAAGTCTTCATTGATTTCAGCAGAACTCAGCAAGACTGAGCAGAAAATGAACTAAAGAGGGAAATGTCAAGTGAGTCATTAGTGGGTAGAGAAAAGAAGGGTGTAGTAAGTAGTCTTCAACATAGTTCTCCTCCTTTAAAATAAACAATGCCACAAATTGGGGGAATCTTTGACATTTGTGAAGATGGAGCAGTAACAATCCCTGCATAGTCTGCAGGAGTGATGAATTCCTCCACTAAAAGGGGTTACTTATGCCAAATGCCAATAAATACACAGATAAAATTAATCTGCTTGTTTGGAAACCTCTGGATGAGAGTTCAGATCTTAAATGCAAAATCAGACTCAGAGAGACACAATCAAACCAGCACCATACGAGAACATTTTTCCCAACTTCCAACAGCAACCTGGTCTAGTGAAAGGTGTCCCTACCAATGGCAGGGAGGGTTGGAGCCAGAGGCTCCTTGAGGTCCCTTCCAACACAAACTGTTCTATGATTCTACAATTAGCCAGAGCAAGCACGGTCCCACAGTCTTTCTAACTCTGTTACAGCACAAACGCGTTCTCTTTAGAACATCCTTTGGTGCGTATTTTCATGCACTCATGTCTGATTCGATTTGCCTGGGTTACCACCACGCAGCCCTTTTTCCTAGGTCTGGTTACTAGAGCAACAGATTATGTTTTGGATTTGGTAGCAACATATTGCAGGCACCAAAAAAAAAAATCTGCTATTAGCTCAAGAAACATGAAACTACAAGTCAACAGCCCATGCCACAGAGGAATCCTCCTGTAATATCTCACTCATCTCTCTAATTATGAAACTTTATGAATCCTCACCTCCTTGGCAGAACACAAGCCTAAGCAACCTCTGCCTCAAAGGATGCACAAGAGAGGTGCGCTGCCCACAACCTCCTGTGTGCTTGTCACTGCAGAGAAACCACATGACAGATTTAATGGACTTCATAGCCAGAAAAATATTATATTCCACAGATGCTACTACTTGCATTAACCATTAAAGTCAAAGCATAACTTTAAATTCCATATGGTAACACATCTGCATTAGTCTGCACACACATTAATACAAAAAGAAGGTGCTTTTGGGGGCAGTGCTCTTGGGGTTTGGATTTTTTTTTAATAACCAGGAGTCTTCCTGTATTGTCATTTCACTGCAAAGTGACTGTATTAGATATTGTTACTCCACTTAACTCTTGTACAACTCAGAAGGAGGAAAAAAAGCCCTCTCATTGCACAGAGTTATTTCTAATTCACTGCCTTGGGACACAAGGGTTTTTGTTGTAGAGGTGAACAATGACAAGTCCTTTGCTGTCAGGTTTCTTCCTCCCAGCCACAACACAGCCCAATGCAGCAGGTACGTACTCAATATAAGCAATGAACTAAAGACAGCAAGAACTGGTCAATCTGATCATTTCTCAGCCAAAGCCAGCCATTACAGAAAGTTCAGTCAGACCATTATCACTGCTATTAATAAGTTTTTATCCTGAGAGAACAATCTATGCCAGATTTGTTCCTAATTTCAACTGCGGGAACTTACTCAAAAACATTTTATCTGGTCACACACAGTGTAGCCCCCACTGAGTGAGTGTGCTATTATGAGAAAGCAAACTGATATAAATATAGCACAGTGACAGTATCCACTCTGCAGTTACTTCCTCTGCGAAACAGAGCAGAATGAAGTGGGTAAGATGCTCAGCCAGCTTTCTGCTAAGGCCACTGAAAACTGCATTGATGACACCAACAAAAATAATCAGTTAAAGACAAATCTGATCAAATAATTCTCAAACAACATTTAAACTGAAGAACTTGACCTCATCTCAAGTATCCACAAACATAAGATGACATTTCCATTACTTTCTTCTCCATTTATATTCATTTGTGGAATAGATTTTTTCCTGTTAGCTTTTATTTTCACTAGCCAAACTGACTGTAGGTTGATGTAAGAATTAATCATCCAATATCTGAAACTCTACTCATGACAGATAGGCTAGGACAGGGCAGATATTAAACCTCATTGCTGGTTGAGTGTGCACACACATCCACTCTTATGCAATCCATAATTCATATATAGAAATTCAGATTATGATTTTGATAGCTAAAGCCAGAAAGCAAACAACCCAAAAATGCTTGTTTTCTTTTTTGTTTTTTTCAACTCTACCTGTAGAAGGGAACATGATCAGAAACATATCTCTGCAGGAAAAATAATAAAGCAGCATATAGTAAGCAGAAATATTTTTCTGGCAGTATTTTCCCAGCTACAGTTGAACTGCCAACTTTAAAGATGTTATTTTAGCATACAAGATGAATGTATCTCAGGAACAAAAAGAATCACTCTTCCTAATCCTCCTCTCATGCACCCTCCTGCAGTCTGTTCTCAGACATGAAGTATTGCTTAAAAATGCCCATGGAACAGACTGAAAGAAGTTGCTGCTTCTCTATATAGTTATTTATAATAGATAATCTTTAGACAGATAATCTTAGAATCACTCTTAATTCCAGCTCATCATTTATGGTGTTGGCAGAGTTGCTCCAGTGAATTTAGTCTCATTATTCACCTTTGGGTTGTACAGTATCTTGTATTTTATATATCACCCTTTTTTATCCAGTGGATCCCTCACAAGCACTTACAGAACCAAGTGAAGGTGAATAACGATGCAAGGACAAGGCTCAGTGATGAAATACTATGATTTTATGGCCAGTTACAGAAAAACATGGACACACTTTGAATAGGGAGATGAACCTCTTGAAGTGAAGTAGCAATACATCCAGGAGTACCATAGCAATAGGCTTTCTAATAGGCTTCTGCCCTATCCCAAGACACTGAACTTAACCCGAAGTCAACAGGACTGTTCAGTTTTGCTGTCGGTGGCCACTCCCAGCTGCATTCAGTTACGCTTGGGAACTTGCTACAAATGTCTTTGGAAAAAACCCAAAGAGTAATGGGATCATCCATTAAGTTGAAAGTCACGTCAAGACAGTGATGATGGGACAAGTGCACAGTTTTGGTTATTAGAGACTATGCTAACAAGTGCAGAAGGGTCTCATTAATGGCAGCAGACACTTCACGGATTTGTTGCATTGGAGCAATTTATCTACTGACAAGTCCTGCAGAAAGAATGAGCCAAGCTGGCAGTTTTTTTAAAGAACAACTTCACCCACAGCATCCTCTTTAAACCTGCTGGGAGAGGGAACAACTGCTGAAACCCACAAGCACTTTACCCCAATAACAGAGATGTTTCATTGGGTAACCAAAGCCAAATTTCATAGCTTAACCATCTGAAAGAATTTTGCAACGTGATCACCAGAAACTTGAGTTCTACTTCAGGCTCATTGTATCTCAAAATAGATCTCACCAGCTTCCGCATCCCATTCCATTACAGGGATCACATTATCAAGGGTCCTGCCGCAGCATCCTGGGTCACAGCACCCGCTCCTTAACAGGCACTTCCTTGCTAAAATGTGACAGTGGGAGTGACAAGACATATGTGTTCTCTCAGTCTCCTTATACTGCAGTGACCACTCAGACACATGCTTTGGAACAGGAAGAGAACCATGGTACCTTGGGGGGGAAAAAAACCCACCTCAATCATCATCACACATACCACTTGAAAATTTTTCAGCCAAAACTCAACAGTTAAGTCACCAATATCTGAATTTAAAGCAATCTGGGCAATCACAACAGCAGGAGTAAGCATCTTCCTAACCATCCAGTAATAATCACCATGGCCGTCAACCTTTACCATTGCTACAAAATGAGCAAACATCAGTGTATTTCCCTGCTGCTTGATATAGGGCCCTATGCCAAGTTGTCTTTACAAGCACAGCAGCACAGGGAGAAGAGACCTTGAGGCATCAAACTGGCATCAAACAGCAAACAAGAGCAAGATGCCAGCCCACAGGGAAAGCCTTCAGTGAGAAGCTCAGAGAGCCTTACCTATGTACAGGGAGGAATCTTTCCGCCTCACGTGGTCGTCGATGTAGGAAACTCCCAGGGGCTGGACAGGGGTAGCACCAATGCCCAGGAGGACCTGTGCTCCAATGAGCAGCAAGTACATCATGTTGGTAGCAGTTCTATTCCTGCAGATAAGGTCCGGGTCTGGTCCCTCATCGCTGGAGGACCCGTTGACAGCACACACATCCCTCCCTTCAGCCCCCCAGCGTATTTCTCCTGACTCATATTCATACTGGTGGGTCAGAAATTCAGGCAACGCAGAAAGGAGGGCGCCCAAGGCCATGACTATCCCTCCACATCCTATTAAGCGTGGCCGGTGTCCTCGGGCTCCAAAGTAGCTCACGAAGAGGATGAGGGCCAGGTTGCCAATCTCGAAGCTGCTGGCAATGACGCCCACGTCAGCACTCTGAAGGTTGAATCGCCGCTCCAAGGTGGTTAAAACACTCACCTACAACAGAGAAATCCAGAGAAAATTACTGAAAGGGAGTATGACCTGCCTTCTGCCCTCCCCATATGTACTGCTAAAGTGTAAATTCCCTTGACTTTTCCTTGGAGTCGAAAACATCAAGGGCACCCAAATCACAGTATAGTAGTTGACCTCCAAGCATGACCTGACTATTCAAATACAGCCACATCAGAAGGTCCTAATACCAAGTGACATTTCCCAGCCTACCACCTGTCTGAGCACGTGTCCATTTCCAAATTCCTGCATCCATCAATGTATATTTTGGACTCCTGCAGACACCCATGACTCCATGATTGGTCAGCCTTTCTTTGGGCTCGCTTTCTATTTGAAGGCACAACCTTCACAGTGCCCTGTCCCACAGAACCAAGGCACAAACCACACCATGCCTCACATCATGCCAGGCATCCAGCCTTCCCTTTGGAACAAATTGCAGTTAGGGAGCAACAGACAACCCTGTGGATACTTCGCACACCAGCACAAGTCAGCTGGAGACAGTGACATACAAATAGACAGTTTGGATGGCACAGAAAGCTGCTACTAAAGTATATAAATAAAATGCTGATCAAAGGGTTTAAACTGTTTGTGGATTAGTTAATGACTGGAATCGTCACAGAGTATTTTTGAGAAGACAGGCCAATTAAGGTTTACATAGAAGATTTAAATCCACCATGAAGAAGAGATGATTTAACAAATAGGGGTTATTTAACACTAAGAAGAGAAAAGCACATGAATAGTCTTCAAATATTTAACATTGCTGCAAAAAGGAATGACCTGTTCTTTGAATTCAAATGGACAGGACAAGAAGTGACAAGTTTAAACTGCAGTAGAGATGATTCCAGATAAATACAAGGTGGGGAGACTTTTACTGCTAAGGATTCTGAGGCACTGGAACATGCTGCCTGAAGAAGCTGCAAAGGTCTTTGAAAGAACACAGACCAGCATCTGTCAGGAAAGACACAGGTATGACTGATCTTGCCATAGGGCAGGAAAATGAACCAGATCATCTCTTGAGAGCTCTTCCAATCTTGATTACATGGTGCAATGAAACACAGTGTGGATTTTCTGCAACAGTCATAGCACTGATCAGAGCATGAAGGATGAACCATTAGGTACCTCACTTGCCGTCAGGCCTGCTCAAGGGAAAACACAGGGCATTCTCATGTCTATGGCAGTGTGCCTCTTATACAGTAAAAAAAATAACAAAAGAAATCTTGAACATCACAGAAATGCCAAAAACTTTTACCTTGACTAAAAAACTATCTAGTTTTTCAGACTGGAAAAGATGAAGATATTTAAGGTTGTCCTAAAAGAGGCAGGTTTCTCTATTCCAAAAAAAATGTGAAAAAGACCTCAGAGCAGAAGGTAGCCCCTGGATAGAATAAAAATAGCCTCCCACTGGAGGCACTGAAAATCTTTGCTGATAAACCTCACGAAGCAGGAGCCAGTCTGACCGACTTTAAAGTATTCTGACAGCAGCTCTTCTCCGGGGGCAGTTAGCCTCTGCTAGGGTACACCAGGGCACAGTTGGACAAAGACAGCCCTGTCGGCAACAAAATGGGAAATGGAAATAACCCACTTCTGCTGCTTTGCATAAGCAAGAGCTCCCAAACCTGACCCTGGTAAGTGTCCAAGTCAGATCTCCAAAACTGGACTGTTGTAATGTTTTCTGAAAATTCAGACTTCTTCTCATACAGGCTGTTATTTTATACTACTACTGTAATCCTCCCCCGCTGCAGAGCCAAGAACTAAGGAAGGAAAGTAGGAAAAACCTAAAAATTGAACCCTATGACTGAAGGCAGTGCAAGAGCAATAATTCTTCCCACGCCAAAGCCAAGTGAGCATGTGCGTGTCAAAGGCAGAAGAGATCACCACTTCACCTGCAACACCAGGTGCAGGTCCCTGTTGGGATGAAACAGCTCTGTGATTCATGAGGGAAAACGATGTTCTCTGCACGAGGGCACAGCACAGCCTGTCCCTGCTCCAGCCACCTCGGCCACACGGCTCCGCGAGCAGTGCTCGAGCTCACACCTATAACAGGGACATTGCTGCTCCCAGAACTCCATGGGAGCCGTGGCAGAGCAGAGCAGGTGGAGACGGACACTGCTAGAAAAAACACTGTGTTGGTATTTTCAAAGCAAGGCACACCAAGGAGGAGGGATACAGACAACATCCCACTGCCTCAGGCAGTCCCACCAGGCACTCGTGTGACAGAGAACCACAGAATGGTTTGGTTTGAAAGGGACCTTAAAGATCATCTAGTTCCAGACCCTTTGCTGTGGGTAAGGATTTATCACCCACAACACAGGACTGCTTTTACTGCAAGGTATGACCTAATGGTGGTGCAGTCAGACTGGTGGGACTTCTGGCCTGAACACCAAACTTTAAGCAATGCAAAGCACTGGCAATAGGAACCCACCTTTATGCTACCACCTCCAGCACGTCCCTAGAGGAACTCAGCTATAGCTAGGCTCCCATGAACACCAACTTTTGCAGAATGGGGAATCTCTCCAAGTTGAATATGTAACTCTGACCATGCAAAATCATCTCTGTGGTGCTCATTTCTGAACTGTACCTAGATAGGAAACTCATGATTACTCATTACAGCTGTGTAAACTGAGGTAGAGAGCCAACTATTAATGAGACAAGTACAGTAAACGAAATTAATTTCTGATGGAATAATTTAGGCTGGAAGACTGAAAGCCAACAGAAGTGATTTCCCAAGGCCAACTGGTATTAATGAGCTTTGGATGTCTCCCACATTTCGACCTGGCTGCCAAATTTTAGGCTTTTACCATACATATATATAAGTGGCTAGAAGGTGGGATAGTGTTTAGAAACATGAGGGTGCCAGGCCTCAGAAGGGTCAGATTCTGGACAGTTGGATTCCAGATAAAAATACTGCACCATTTTAAAGTGCAATTCACAGTGGCAGAGAAAATAAATTGGTGACAAACCTGGGAACTAAAACCAGAGTCCCAATTCTCATTCCGCTGTTATTTCGGTGGGACTTCAGTAGTTTTTTTCCTTTTTACAAAACCTAAACTACTCAAAATAGGGCAAAAGAGTCTCACCATCCCCTAGCACTTTCTTGCTTTACTTTGGTGAAGAGCCTGAAATAAAAGGAGGAGGAGGAGGATGACAACACAAAGCAAACTCCAACCCTCCTGATAAAAGCTGGAAGTTGTCCTTATTCTTTTGGCCAGACCACACTGCACTTCCCAGTTTGCTCCTTCTGACTGCAGGACTGCTACCCAGTGGTACCAGCTCTTCCTTTATTAAGTGGGTTATGAGGAGCAGGGGGGTATGGTGAAAGAACAAATCCATCATATCATCCTTGAGCATCCAGAGAGAAAGAGCATCTAAGTACAAAGTGCTGAGACCAGCATCAGCAGAGTAGCCTCAAAACACTGACAAGTCACAGTGAGGGGAAAAAAAACCCTAAATCCCAAAATAAAAATAGGGCTGGGAAATAAACTGTCAACATGCAGATTTTTAGGCAGAGAACAACAGGAACACAACTGCATTACATTCAGGGTGGCTGCAGCCCAGAGACCACAGCCCAAATTCCTACTGTGACATTGGCTCTGACCTTACAAAGACCAACTACAAAATCAGCATTAGCACAGCAGAGATGTTACCTGCATTTATTCAAAATAAGCCCCTGCCCATGGCTAGCATCATTCTCTCACCCTCTATGTCCCATGCTGATAGGACTTCCTGCATATGAGGTAAATATGCAGGAATAAATACCTGACTAAATAAATACCTTCAGTTTCCACATGGGATGCTCCTGGTGCCCTTGTAACTGTGAAATCAAGGAGCACTCTACTGCCCATATTTCCTTTCATGAGCCTGTTCCCCAGCAGGACAGAGGCAGGGCCACCCTTGGAATCATGGCAAATGCCAGAACCTACAATAATGGGGCCAGCACTGAAGCTACAGCTTCCTATGGGAATGCACCTGTGCTAAAAACAGCTGTACCCTGATACCTTTATGTCCTTATGCCTGTCCTGCAGGTCGGTGGGGCTCTGACCAGCAAATACTTCACCTGCAGCACTGTACACAGCCCTCAGTCATGCCAGCCTCGCTGCCTTTTTCCATGATTCCCATTTCACCCACTCCAGACATCTCCCACCCAGTTTTTAAGAGCAGCTCCACTAGGTTTAGCTATGGCATCACAGACATCAGCAGGACTGTGAAGCTGTTGTTACTGCACAAGTTCATGCTCCTCTCTCCAGGTTAGTCAACTGGACCACCACAAACTAAACCAGTTTGGGTACCTGCACACCTTTTTCATGCAGAAAGCAGACTGGGGATCTAGAAAGATCATGTAACTCAGCCTTCTGCCTTTATGTGAACACACTGTAACATACAATAACAAGAAGTAATTAAAACTTATACCATGATTGCACTGTCTCCTCTTCTTACCAAGCCACAGCAGGCTGTACACATGCATTTGTATCAGATGACTTCAGAGACTAACTTCAAAAAGGCCTGGGCTAAAGGGGCCTCCCATCACCACCCTAAAACACTCTTCAATGATTGAGAAAGGAAAATATCTCACATAACACACACAGTGATAAATGACCCACATCAAAATGGAAAAAAAAAAAAGAAATCAATCACCACCTTAAAATTTTCCAGCCAAAGCAACTTATATTGTACATCCTGTAACTAAATCCACAGAAGCTTATACCATGCTATTCTGGACTTATTTCAATAATACATGCTCACATTCATCATTCCTGTTTGTCCCAAATCTACAGATCTTGGCATTTCTGAACCAAGGTAAATTTGTTTTCTCTATAGGCTGTTTATTTTATATTAATGCTCAGCAAAAATACAATCCACAGACCTGTTTCACACTATTGCTTCACTTTATCACTAAAAATTGAACTGAAGGCCGGGAGCACCATTATGGGGACAGAAACACAGTGCATTGAAAATGAATATCATATTGTTCGTATATCCAATGATCAAGT